TCTGGTTGGTCCCTAGCGTAGGCTGACATGAATGCTCTACGACACTCAACAGCAAAACGACGAAGGCGATTAGATGCGTTGGTGCGGTCCCATTGGCGTTGTGCTCGATGAATAACACTGTCAATCCGGATCTGATCCTGTTCATTGGCATGAACTAATGGCTGAAGGCAGGTTTGCATTGCGAAATTGGTGTACCATCGGAACAAAATCGTCCACCCACACATTGTGATCACTTCATTACTGTCGCCCAGCGTAACCAGCATCCGATGGGATGGGATCTGTAGGATTCGAGACACCTCAAGAGTGACCATGGTATGGTGTTCCTGTGGCCATTGAATAAGGATCACGTGGACAGGTTCCGTGCGGCGATCAATTTCAACAGCGCACCAGTGTGCTTCAACCAAGAATAGGAGGGTGTTCAATTGGCCGTTATTGCACTGCAGTTGGTCTTCGGCTGCCATCAAATGTTGGAGGTCTCTGCTTGGGCTCCATTGGATGATTGGTCCGATGGCAATGTCAGATCTCCAATCTTTAAGCAAACGAAGAAACCACAATGCCTCATCGGAGGCTAACCAGCCATTGTCTTGTGTAGCTGCGGCACAGCGTTCTGCAAATGACGGGTTGGGCTCCATGTGGATAATCTCACAACGGCCCCAGGCTGGATGTCCCCCACGATAAATGGCTCCACCCCATCCTCGAAAGTATGAGGACTGTAAGTTGCGGTGTGCAAGGGTTATCTGACAAAGTGAATCTGCTGTCTCGTCGGGGGCCGGCCAGCCACTATCGGGTGTGTCTGCAGCATAGCGTTCCACGAAGGGCGGATGAAGCTCCACGTGAGTCATGTCACATTGGCCACACACGGGACGCTCCTCTCCATAAATGGCATAAGATACATGATCGATGACGGGCACAGTTCCGCTGAAGGCGGAAGACTGTCGGAGAAGTTGCAGCATCATGGCTGGGTCATCAGCACACAAAGGTGTTGTCGCTGTAAACTTTGATGCTGTCAAGTACAAATGTGACTCTTGCGATAGTCGTACATGGTGCGAGTTACTGGGCCATAAGCTGGCAGTACGATGTTGGTGGCAGTACAATATCTCTTTTGCCTCGTCATAATCCACAAGCGTGGGAGAGTAGTCCGCAAACGCTACTTGCAAACGAGGTGGCAATTGCAGATCTCGAGATAAGCGGAAGGCCATAGTTGGGAAACCACATGAATGAATCTGTGGAGAGCATCTTCGAGAAGATCTATTCTGCACCAAATCAAAAAAAGTACAGCCCCTCTAAAGGTAGTGTCCTGTAGTGGTTCTTGGTGTAGCCGATGTCGGTTCTTGTCAGAAAAGATGACTGTATCTTGTAGGATGTTGGCAGGCGCCCAGATTGTGCGAACTGTGTCGCAAGGAAAAGATGGTAAGTCACGATAATCAATTGACACTGTTGACAGGTTGAGAAATGGTAGAGGATCACCTTCACTCTGTTCCACTTTTGTGGAAATATCAATGTTCTGATATTGCAGAGTTGTTGGTGCGCTTCCCATTGCACTGAAATCGAACCTGGACAAAGTATCAAAATCTTCAACATCGCTCTGAGAATATCTCTTCCACAAATCCTCATCGACGTCTCGCCTAGCGGACACGACTACTTGCTCTCCCGTGGTCTGAAACAATCTGAATGTCTGAGACCAATCGATGTTGAAGACGGGTATAGCCCCTCGAGATATGGTAAACTGTAGTTGACCTGGATCATATACATTTGGATCGGGTACAGCCCCTTCGGATGAAGAACTTTGGAATGGTACCTGAAATAGATCGCCTAAACTGCAGTCACCAAATGTCCGCAAAGAAACACGATGTGAGGCTGACGAATCATACTGATGTTGAGACAATGCTTCAGATTGTAAGCTAGTTGGTTCGGCACTAGCATGATCATCTTGAGATCCAGTGGAGCTCAAAGCGTTGAGGTAAAGGATGAACTCATCTGACAAGCATTGAGTCACTGCTTGATCGAAATCTGTATCACCTGAGAGCTGCGCATCTCTGTGGAAGACATAGGAAATTGATAAGCATAACTCTCCCTGACCATACTTGTTCATGCACACAGGTCTGTGTTCATCCAGCCTGTAAGGCAACTGCTCCAACCCATACACCATTGACACCGCCTCGTCAAAACACGTGAGGTTGTAACCGGGTACAGCCCCGCTATATATTGTCAAATGCTGTAGCTCTTGAATCAATGCGGTCGGATCGGGTACAGCCCCTGTTGAGATAGTGGTCTGCGGTGGTCGTTGAAGGCGGTATCCAAAATGTCCTCCAAGATACTCTTGGTGATAGGCGCTTGCTTCTGTCGGAAATGGTGAATGAAGCTCCAGAATCCGTGTAGGAAACACTTCTGCAGAAACTTCAATATTTGTGGACTGTGCAATACCAGGATCCCCGTTAATATTAACAAGGTTGGGTTGGGGATCCAATTTAGTAAGGAATTGCCTTTACAAAATGAGTGTGCATGCATATAGGCTTACAAAATGATAGGATTTGGAGGAATAAACAGACTACAAAATGATTGGATGACCATCTAGGATCTTATTATTTTCTTACTAAATTGATGGGACCAACCCAACAAAAAATGATGACTGTACCCAACCCTGGGGCTAAAGAATGACCGTACCTGACAAGAAAACATATATTAAAAAAAAAACATACCAAAAATTACCCTTACAAAATCCACATCCCCAGACAAGGAAAAAGACACAAAAACAACTACAAAATGGGATCCCCCGTTGCATCCTGAAAAAAAGTAATCCCACGATCCCCCTTTCAATCCTGCTCGCTGCCCCAAGAAATGCAAGGCCCCGACTCTTGTCCGCTCATTTCGCGGAGGTCTGCCTATTTCGGACACCACATGCTTCCTTCTAGCAACCCACCTCTGAGAAGGAGCATGGCCAGTCCGCATAGCCAAGCTATGCGGATCAGGAAGTGCCAAGGAGAAGGCCTCTTCCTGTTCTATCTAAACTCTCCACCTTACAAAATGAGAGGGTGTTGAGAAGAGTGTGCAAAATACCTGTGCTTGAAAAAATAGTGGTTTGAACATGGAATCTCCGTTTCCTCAGATGAAGGTCTCTTCCTTTTCTATCTAAACTCTCTACCTTACAAAATGAGAGGGTGTTGAGAAGAGTCTACAAAATACCTGTGCTTGAAACAAAAAATAGTGATTTGAACATGGAATCTCCGTTTCCTCAGATGAAGGCCTCTTCCTTTTCTATCTAAACTCTCTACAAATGTTGACCATTATTTTAAATCACTTCCCAAGAAAACGTCCATTTTCACTACAAAATGCAGTGATCTGGCTTGTTCAAAACATAATACTCCCTACTAAATGCACGCGCTCATGGTTAGCTTAGATTCTTAGCACATATGAAATGTCCTTACCATATGGTAGGGGTTTGATGTCTTATCAGCTCCACAACCTTGTTTTGTACTACTAAATGACCCCGAAATTTTTTAGCCAAAAGGTAGTTTTCTTACCAAAAACTTTTTGTTAGTGGACTCAACCCCCCCCAATTTCGTAGGGGAAATGCACACGGGGATATACCAGGCGTTATGTATGGCGAAGGTACTGAAGAGGACAAGAAAAAATTTGAATCTTTGCATTGGTCAATGTCAGTGCGGGTTGCGACAAGAGGACACAGAGTGTCCTGAATTCCAACGGAACTCGGCATTGCTGTGTTCGATTGCGCCAACGGTAGCCAACTAGAAGAAGCGTTGGTAAACCTTCGAAGAAGCGTAGTGATCGAATTTAGATCACCAGCATCCATTGGTGTAGCAAAAGGAATAGCATTGTACTGTCTGGTCTGCATAGCAGATTGTTTCTGCAAATGCTTCTCTGTGGTTGTCAACTCGGGTACAGCCCCTCTGGAGATGGTCGTATGCTGTAGAGCTTGAAAGTCGATATGGTGATCTCCTGATTTGCAGGATCCTGCATACCAAAATATGGGCGCCTGCTTTGACCTGTTGAATTGCGATGTCATATGTCGGGTTTCTGGAACTCTGGATGTATTGTGTCGAAAAACACAACAAGTCGACCTTTGATGGGAAAAGAACAAGCAGGGAGGAATGGCGACATCTCGTACAGCTTTTAAGAAAGCTATACAACCTGCTTGAAAATTCTCACCCCAAGAGCCAGTCGGACAGGTGGATTGCTTGGTGAACAAGTCATTACGAACTGTCTCACAAGAAGCAATATGATCTATATCTGGACGTGCAAACTGAATTTGTTCGACTTCTGTCGCACGTGCATGAAAGGCATCGGGGCGTGAATACAAAATTGGTAAGCTCGGATCTGAAGTATGTGTTTCTGAAGGGTCTGCACGTGACCGATCACCCAAAGGCGGAGACTTTGAATCCGGCCCGATTGGAAATCCAACAGAACTGAATACACAGTCATGGTCAGTGCCAGGGTGTGCCTGGTGTGCCCTTCCGTCATACCACGAATTTGAACCTCTGCCAAAACTCTCTTGGAAAGTCGTGACCCCCCTTAAAGTCGTGCTCAGCTCAACACTTGTAGACTCGGTCGCCCCCCCAAGCAGGCATAGCAACGGTGAGATGATTCCAGCATGACAAGTTGACTGGGACGAACACGATGCATGAACCCATGAAGCTAGACGGGAGAGAATCGACCTGTGTTGACGTGTGGACGTCGGATGTCCCACGGTTTCGCTGCAAGAAATGGCTACGGAGGTGCTGATTTGAGGATTTGTGAAGCGACAACTCCATGGTTCGTAGTCCTCATCTGCTGAGGTAGGCATCGCCAAGTTTCGTCCTGATAAAGCATTGGTATGTATCAGGGCCCAAGGCTCTGACAAAGAGTCATCTGCTTCTTCCGTGGGAGCAGTCACCCCACTCATCGGTGAGTCTGAGAACAAGATCTTGCAAGCTAATCTCTCATGCGTAGACTGCGTTGAATTTGTTGAGATCATCGACCCTTTTGTGGGAGCCGTCTCCCCACTAGTGGCTGCAGCAACTTGCAAAACGCCAGCACCACGGTTCCCAAAGAGCTGAATCCTCCAGACATTGGCCATAGCCAGCATTCATCTCATGTCGCGCGAAATCTTGGGCCCAAGGTTCAAAGTATTCGGGGATTGGGCTGTATGAAGGATCTGAGTACCCTGACGGCACCTGAGGTTTGTCGTGATGCAAAAATGGATCCAATGTATCATGACCTTCAGTAGGCAAAACGATGCCCAACTGAGTCCGTCCGCAGATCTTCCAGGTGTAAAGCAACCTGTACTCCGAAGAACTCAGGTACTGCAATACTGTATTGGAGACCTTGAGACTGTACATAGACCCGTCCCGTGCAGAGCAACCAACGACTGCATAGGTGTGTCCTCGCAGCAAGACCTTATCTGTTCGATTTTCAGCCTTTTGCAGCGGGTGCCATAAGGATGTAGGCTGGATCAGATGCCTTGCATATCCATCGTGTGCCCCCCGATGGGATATCATGGCTCGATTCGAACCCCACTACACCGGTGGTAGCGGGGCCACAGGTGCGCCGCGGAAGGGCTCGAGCCCAACACCTCTGGCCGTACTACTAGGAGCAAGGACGCTACTAGGGACTCCTGGCCG